GAGGTTTAGGATGCACTGTAAACATAGGAGCTTTTGTTGTTTTTGTTGAAGAAGTTTGCACATTGATGCTAACTACTGCAGTTTGTTGAGAAAATACCTCATATTCTTCAGTGATAAACTAAAATTGTTTGTATTTTACAACCAGTGCATTCATAAGCTGTATAAAATGTACTTTTCTATCAGATGTTATTGATCAACAAATCCTTGTTGCACATGTTTAATTTTACTAGTGCTGACTCAGTAGCTGGGAAGGGTTTATTTCATTTGTTTTTTAGCCAAATATTATTGTAATATTTTACTGTTATTCATACATTCATCAATCCAAAGAGGGCCAGCACTTCAACAATTAAGGAGTCTGCTACATTTTCAATGAAGAAAAACAATTATTAAATAATTTTATACCAACCCTGCTGCCATTGCTGTGTGAGTGTGTGTTAATGGCTGAATGCGGGGCAAAAATCTTGTAAAGAGCTTTGGATAAAAGCACTATATAAATATAGTCATTTACCTTTCACCTGTATTTGGGGTAACTGACATTGTTAGGGAAGGATCTCCCTAACGTCAGTTAAGACCTCTTCAGACATATACGTCCGTCGTCCAAATTCAAGTTGCTGTCTGCTCCTGTACGATGTCCTTCTGCTCATTCCAAAGCATTTAGCTATTCTTTGCCAACTCGTCCAAGGGATAAACAGTCGGTAATTCTTTCATGTAGTATGTTGTACTGAGATCGACCAGGATGACCAGTTCTGATTGTTGGAGGTATTCTGTCGAATAAAGTGTAGCTCTTTGTCTCACTTCCAGTGATCCTGAGTTTTCATATGAATTGATAATCGAACAGAAACGTGCATACATGATCTGTAGTGCACCTAAACTTCCTGAACTATCACCCCTTTTAACTGCTGGCTAAATAGGTGGCAGTAGCTCAGGGACCTGGCTCAGGAACCAAACAGTGGTCGGTTTCAGCACAGACCACTGCATAATGTGGACTTGTAGCTAGTACACCAAACCTCAACTGCTTGGGATGCCAGACTATGGGGCCACCCCATCACACTAACATCCTGTGTATTTAATTTCCTCAAGGGGATTGATAAACCAATCCTTCTTTTTCTAATCGAGAGAAAGAAAGAAATTGTCCATGTGTATCCATCAATAATCTTTCCAACATAATGCGGTCAGATCTGATGCTGTCCCTTATAATGTTCTGAATACACCAATTGTGCACAGAAAAAAGTTCTCTTTAAAAATGCTGCTGATTTAAATGCACAATGTTGCTCCAATTTAGCTCCATGGTTTAAGCAAGCTGAAATGTAAAGACTATTATCACGTTTAGTCAAATTGGAACAGGTAAGAGTATAGCTAGTGTCAGGCTAATGTTGCTACTGTAATTGATTCCACTTCCTGCCTGTCAAAGCAGCGTCTATAAAATCTGAAATTTTGTTCTCCAATTTGCTAAGCAAGCACGTAGACAAACATGAATATGCATGCATTGACACCCACACAAACAGCTCATGACTGGCATCGCAGGTTTATCTTTATTGAGGCTCTTGTTCCTGACAAATAAGTGCTGAAAACAAACAGTGAGGCGGTGAAGTAATGTTAGCAGAACGCCTTTTCTTAATTAAAAAGCTTGTCTTTGTTATACCTGAACCAATGATAACAGCATCTGGGTCGGGGAGATAACGGGAGGAGTGGGGGTTTTATAAAAGGGAATACACAGAATGACACTGTGTGTGTGTGTGTGTGTGTGTGTGAGTGTGTGTGTGTAAGGGATCTTAATAATAAACATACATTATGGATCAAGATCTCGGGATGCGTACATATACATGCAGCATGCAGTGTTATGGGAATGTGATGGGTTTCACTTGTCTATATTAAAGGGAACATAGGGATTGAAAATGTTATTTAGCGAGTCGTGACTGGAGATGCGGTGTATGTCATTTAGGAGCTAATGAAGGAAACTACTGTCATCTATAGGTTTCTGAGCATATGTTGTAAAGCAGCAGAGACTGAGTTTACTGCAGCCACAAAATTTGGTCAAAGCGAGGGGAGCCTAGTTTGAGCTGATGAATCCAGCCAGTGGTAATCAAACAAGCAAACACATCAGAAAACCAAATCTTTCTCCTAGAAATTACTGTTATATGCTGGTAACTTGGAACAGAATATCTTTTAAATCAGCACAATAAGATTTACATATCTGGAAAGTTGTAAAATGTTTAGACATACATGCACTTAACAACGTTTTATGGTCATGTTAAACACTGTTTATGTTGAATATTCAAAAAGTCTGATGTGACTCGAGGCATGAGGCGTGATCTTTACTTTGTGTATGATGCATGGTGTAGTAAACTTTGATGTTTACTGCACCATTTTTATTTATTTAATATAAATTGAATTTTGAAAAGTGAGGGGGACCCCCATCCCTAGTGGAAATTATGCCCCTTCTTTCCCTACTTCCCTTGCTACTGTTTTTGTATCCTAAACTTAACTGCATGTGAAAAAGCTTCAGCTTTTCAAATGTTGACCACACAGCTGCAGTATTGAAGCAGATGGGAAAACTCTCCTGTGAGATGTTGAAAATGTCAGTAAATACATCAAATAGCTGACTGACACATGCTTTTTGTACATGGCCAGGGATGTTATCAGGCCCAGCAGTCATATTAACTCTCAGCAGGACTTATCTCATATCTGCTTTGGATACTGACAGTGGCCAGTCCTCTGTAGGTGGAGAGGACTTCAGAGTTCAGACTGCAGGCCAAAGTGACCAAAATCAGATTGTTTTTGCTCATATGTGACTCAGATCATTACATGCAAAGAGAGATATTTCAAGCCTTTATTTTATATAATTTTGATGATTATAAATAAATGAATTTTTGCACGATATGCTAATTTTTCGAGTTTCACCTGTATTATAAATCGGCAGACTCGTGGCCCCGGGAGAAACTGGGAGAGGGCGATGAAAAATGAAATACAGGAGTGTTCTAAGAAAATTGTTCACTGTGGCTCCATCTAGCACAAAATTGTGACAACAGACTGTGGTCTCTTTCAAAAAATCTGGTCTGTGTCTGATTTGGACCAGATATGAAAGTTGCCCGAATCTGAACTGGAAAAGATCAGATTCCATGTAACTACTCTGCCTCTGATTGGCTAACCTAATCAAAGGAGGCAACAAGCACTAACCAATTAGAGGCATATGTGTCGAAACTCCAGGGAAAAAAATGATGTGTGGCCATCACATGTTTACTCCCGTACGTGCTGCTCTTCCCCCTCTTTCTGAAGCGATTGCACCGCTTACAATGAGGTTTGGTCCTGGTGGAAATAATTATACTTCCAACTCTTAGGGAGAACTACTACCTGAATGCTAATAGCATCGATATCAGCAGAGTTTTGTGGTCACTTTCCAAAATTCCTGCCATGAAGTGACTGATAGCTTATCGGACCAATAGAAGAGCAGCAGAGAAACACCACACAGAATCCCCACCCCTAGAGCGTTTGAAAAACTGAGAATTGGAAACCAAAAATGAGAAACACAACCACAAACCAAAGGACAGGCAATTCAATTACACTGAAGCTGGGATTTTAGATGCAAATCACATTTCTTTGCATTTCACATTATGGCTCTTTGTCTTATTTTGGAATGAAAGTTGGATGTTTTTAATCTCACATTTCATAGCATTTTTTAATGGCTTCTACTTAAAGAGGTCATATTATGCTTATTTTCAGGTTCATAATGTGATTTAGGGGTTGTATCACAACACGTTTTCATGACTTAATTTTCGAAAAATACCACATTTTTCATACTGCGCATTGCTGCAGCACCTCTTTTCTACTCTGTGTGTTATACGCTTAGTTTTACCTGCCGACTGAAGCATCTCACTTCTATTTGATCTTTATTGAGAGATGCACATGCACAGTACCTAAGTAAGGACTACCTACCAGTGAGGTAGTGTGTTTCTCCACCAGTGTTTTTGAGGACTAGCAACACAAGCCACTGGACGAGCATCATGACACATGTTACATAGTGATGCAGATAGGTCACGGAAGTAAAGGCTGGACTACAATCAAGCTGTTTTCAGGAAGTTCAGAGCAGTGTTTTCTGTGGGAGATGGGAACTCCCTTTGGGGTGGACTTCTGGCTTTTTCACGTTGTAAACCTATTACATGCACAAAAAAAGATACATAACACAATAAAGGGAAAAAGCTAACAAGGCATAATATGACCTCTTTGAAATAAATTGACAGACCTACATACGACCACACAAAATTACAATGATTACTGACCATTTGACATTTGAAATAATTTTCTATTATAAACGCTCTTGGGCACATTTCCTCTCATTCCAATCATGCTACCAGCATGTAAAAAGATTTATACACTTTACAGAACAGTAGGTCGGTTTCTCTGCAGGTTCTACAGACTGTGGAGTTAAATTATATAGCACATGAATGATTTTTCCATTTCTGACAATCAGAAAATCCTCATAATAAAAACATTATTTATTGTGGTCAGAAAAGCAGTGACTGGAGCATTTCTGATTTTAAAAGAACAATCCATGAAGCAACATGTTTTAGCACCCACAAAACCCCGTAAAGCTGTTTCCTCTGGCCCAACAACATGAGAAAGCTTGTAATTGATCTTTTGTTAAGAATAAAAACACATTCATCACACACACACACACACACACACACACACACACACCAGCACACGCCTGGAGACATAAAAGCTAACGTGAAATATTATTCCCACACAGAACTTGCATGCTCGACTGCCATTTATTAGCCAATCTATGTCAAATACTTTCTGAGAAGCAATAAAACAGATTGCTTGATAGAGTCAATGTGCAGAAAATAGGTGTGTGTGTGTGTGTGTGTGTGTGTGTGGTAAAGACAGGGGGTAGGTCACGTCACATCATCAGGTTTACCCCTCCACCCCCTCCCCTTTATCCCCGGTGACGTAAGCCACACAAACTACTTAAAGAAGCTGCGGAGCCCCCAGCCGCAGTAGCGCACCGAGCGTAAGAGTTAAACGGGTGTTTGTTTTTTCTCCCAAACGGCGACACACGGTCCGGTACTTCACTTTGTGCCACGGAAAACTGAAGACAGAGCGCGGACAGACAGAGAGAGAGGAGAGTAAGCGCTGTGTGTAGGCTATGTGTGGTTGCTGATTGGCTGAACCGTGACCGCTCACTGTTTTTACGCGCGCCACACGGGAAGCCTGTGCGCAGATATACCCAATTGGGCTGCACAGACTCGCTCCACTCAACAGTTTGTCAGTCGCCCGAGGGCACGCGCGGACGAGGAAAGCATAACTCGGCTTCAGTATCATTTAAAATAACACAGAGGTAAGAAAATAACTTCTTCATTTATAGCTAACAACAGCAACTATTACTACTACTGCTGCCACTTCTTCTAGTACAATTACTACTACTGCTGTCACAATAATCACAGTAATTCACTGAGGTCACACAGCAGCCACTTTACACACTTCAGGGAACTTTCATCTTACATATATTTAAATGTATTCCTATTTATTTTTATTAATATTGTATTTTATATTAAGTAGTATTAACGAAACTAGTGCTAAAAGCAGACAATACTAGTAGTTATAATAGTATAAAATTGTAAATGACAAATTGCATCTCTGCATAGCTTATAAAAAGGTAACATTTTATTTATCATTTATTTTAACGTTTTTAATGATTTCTTATATTTTCAATCAATTGCACATTTTACTTAATATTGTTAGGTTAAGTATAGGCCTAATGTTATCTATCTGACACAGTTGTAACTTTGTGTGTATTTTTCTGTCCTAAGTCCATGGCTGCCCCTGCAAACATCACATGCATGTGGATGTTGGTTCTGGGTGCGTGTGTGTCGCTGGTGGTTGGAACGGACTGCGGGAAAGAGTGTGCACTGTGTGTGTACCGTCTGCTGGGACAGCAGTCTGGATTTTCCTCTCTGGTAATGTAACCATATTTGATTATTACTACAAAGTTTATGTGTATTTATAACCCCCTTATAACAAACTCAGTTTTATACAGAGACTTAGCCAGGGTGCGTAAACAGGCGCAGCAGTCTGGTTTCTCCTTCTCACAAAGTCATATTAATAGGCCTTTAATTTAAAGTTTAACTTTCTCTTTTCCTTTCTTTTCATATGAATTTCCATTTTTCACTCCATTCCTTTCATTCTTTGCTTTCCTTGAAGTTCATCTCCTAATCTGTTTCTTTATTTTCTTTCTCTCCTTTTTCTGTCTCCCATCCCTTTGTACTTTCCATTCCTTTCCACTCCTTTCCTCTTGAATTGCCTCTCTTTCTTTTTTCCTTATGTCTTTAGTTATTAGATGACTGTAATTCTAATACTATCCCATAGACATCAAACCGATAAAGCCTCAATAAATATTTTATTTCACTGTTTTCATTTCATCAGTAGGGATTTCTTCCTGAGGGGTTTCCTTTCTTCCATACTTCCTCTTTCCAACACTCCCTCTCTGCTTTCTATTCCTCCTCTCTCTTCCTTCACCTGGCTTTCTCATTTGATTCCCTCCTCCTTCAGCCTGTAAATGACTGTAATCATAGCCAATACTAAAAACTAGTAGCATTTTTCTTTTCTCATTTCCTTTCCTTTCCACCATTCTTCTTTCCTCGTCTCTTCACATTCTCTTTACTCTAAAAATATTTTAAAGGGACTCTTCAAGATATTATACATTCTTTGAAATTCTCTGACACCAATAAGGTGGCTTGAATTCCCTAAATTCTTTCACTTTAAAAAATGTTTTAACTCCTCTTAGAAATTTGCCATTAGTTATTAGAAGGGGAAGAACAGTATACAGACCAAGACAAAATATACCATAAATAGAAATCTAATTTATATTTCCTTGAAATCTGAATAGCCGCCCATATTTGGTTTTTGCTGCCCCTTTTCCCTCTTTAAACAATGATTACTTGTTGTATACTTCACATTATGGCCACCAGAGAGTGCTGCTGCCCTCCACCCTCCCAGCCCCTCAGGTGCCAGTATGTCCTCAATTCAATTTTCCTCTTCATTAATTCTGTGTTCATAAGCCAGCGGCACTGAAAGCTCAGCAAGAATCCCTCCATGCCATCAAACAGGAATTTCTGATGGCTCAAATAAGTGAAATCCAATGACACATATGAGGTTGGAAGCAGGTTATCCTGGCAGTAAGTAACCCCCGGGGCCCAGTAGATGCCTTTATTCTGATTATACTCCTGATACTGGGTTATATGGACTCATATAGTTAAAGGATTACTGGGATCAGTGGGTGGCGGGGTGGGGGACACACAGCTTTTATAGGGAACGCTTCCATTAGATGAATAGGAAATACTGTCAATGAGTGAGGAACAGGCTGGCACAGATGGTTTTAAAAAGGAAATCGTGTTTTTCTAAGTTGTTAAGGGAGTAAGTGAGGGATATCATAAATAAAATGGGCTGTTTTCTTCTCCCAAACCATCTGTTGACTGTTGTAATCTCTCCCTTATTGACGGTTTCTCTCTTTTGTGTAGTCTGTGTATTTCTCAATATGAACACAGTGGGAGTGGAATGTGCAACAGCTAGATGACAGAGCTTTCTCTGTGTTTCTGTGTCCATTTCAATTTCAGTAACAATTCGTCAAGCTTGATTGTCATGGTTTAATAAATGCAATGAACAGTGATGGAATGAGACACATAGAATACATGATTGAAAATGCTTAACCCTTTTTTTGGTCTTAATTTTTCTATAAAAAACTAGATGGAATTTTAATTTATTGTCTATTTGACTGCTATTGAAGGAATGGACTATGGCCTCAAACGACTCTAACACAATCCATTTGAACATATTCAGAGTTAAGAGTTGTTTTATTTTTGATTTTTTGTTGCAAGAATCCATAATAAAAACCCAATCCATTGACCCTGATCAAAATTTCAATTGTGCGCCTGAACTCCGAAATGTACGCCGACTCCAAAGCCTGTCTGTTTTTGCAGGGGAAATCGAAAGAAATACTTTTTTTTTTAAATTAACATTTAAGTATTCAAACAGGCATTTACATATCTCAAGTATTTTAAAGACAGCCAGTTTATTTTTTTTATGTTTTAACTAAATCAGTATTTGTGGTAGTCATGTTTACAGTTCTGTTATAATGAACTAGTTCCTATACAGAACCCATGTGCAGGCGCATGCATTCAGTTGGCAATACGAAACAATATTAACATTGAGTGGCAAAACATCAAATGGCAGGGGAAAGGAGACTAATAACCTCCGACATGCTATGCCGTGTGGTACTGCATACCCACCTCAACATAATTATTCAATTGTAGCTATACTGCTTGAGGATTTGAAGCAAATTGTTGCTCGTTCTTAACGTGGTTAGCTTTTGTCATCAGCCTCTCAATGCAGTAATGTGACTCCACATTCATTCGCCTCACAAAGACATTTAACAACGCCTCCAACAGGTTTTCAGCCACCTTATCTAACTACACCAAAAAATGTTGCTGTTTTTTTCCATGGCAATGAATTTTTTCTGTGAATAATCTGTCCCAAAATACAGTCCAGATTTATCAGACGTTGGGTACAAACCCATCTCATATGTTGTCAAGTCATCATTCTCATCCTAGTTTTGCATTCAACTCTTGTTGTTTTAGGATTGATTGCCATTTAATCTATGAGGATAGTCTGTAAGTAGAGTGCAAATACAGACTGATAATATAAAGCCCAAGGTGACATCTTCAAAAGACTTAAAAGCTGAATCCATTTCCTAAATTGTTTTCTACTAATCGATATTTGACTGAGGATCATCAAATGCTAGCTTTGAAAATAAAGGTAATGATATTTGCCTGCAAGACATCACAATGCTGTCCATTAGTAGGACCAGTTTCCCTTTTAATGCCTCAAAGCTTTCAAGTCATATATCTTAAAGTAATATAGATTTAGAAATATGCTTTTTTTGGTTTCTCCCCGAGAGTGAGATGAGAAGATCGATATCAATCTTTAAGTGTGTTAAAGATATATTCCAGAGCTTACTTTTGCACTTCCTTAAAACTGGCTAATTTAAGAGAAATGTTTTTAAAATAATTGTAGAAACTGAAGCAGCAGACACCAAAACATCCTGACTTTAAGTCCCTTATATGGGTCAAGATTGAAAAACCTGGATCCTGCATTTTCCCATGAGGGAACTCAATAGTGTCTTTATTAAGCTACATTCATGTGCTCCTCGGATGGTCCAATTTCCCAAGTTGTGAAGTTGTTCTTCCGACTTTGGTGCATTCATGTGTTTTTAATTAGGGTTTGGAAATAACATGGACCCTACTGCAAAGATGTGTTGGATTTGTATAAACAACACGCAGACATCTGTTTTCAGTGTTTGAGTGACAGTGAAGAGCAAAGGAAACAAATTACAAAGACATGTTAGCAAAAAATGTATATACAATATGTGATTTGCACCATTAATGAAAAGTTTCTTACCATTGCCATGTTTCTACGTGTATTCCATCAAAACACTTTCTTCAACTTTCCGAGTTCTTGTTCCAACTTCAGGAGGCGTTCACATGAATATTCCCAATTTGGAAAGTTGACCATTTTTACCTGGTAAATGCCCACATGTTCTAACTCGAGCTCTGTTCTCAATATGTTTTTTCTGAAATGATGAATTATTCCTTTAATCTCTGCTTGTATATCTTTACATAGCTAAGGTGCCATTACATTGAGGCCCTTCAATTCACAAAGTTGTGAAACCCCTAAATGATCCATTATTTTACTTATTCTGTAAAGTTTGAGGGGTTATTTAATGTAGAAAAGAAATGATTCCCCAATAAAACCAAACTGATTCGGGAACTAATATTTCAATGGAAATGTGACAGCATGTTGTAATTGGCAAACATTTTATTGGTAAGATTGATAATAAAGTCATAATGATAATTGTGATTGTTGCAGACATGCTCACTTGAGTGCGAGGGTGGGTTGGACAGCCAGAAGCTTCGCCTGTGCCAGGACCTCCTATTAGAGGAGGAAAACCACATTCCTCTGGAAGCTGACCCCCATCAACAGCAGGAACAGGAAGCACTGGCCACCATGACGGCTGTCGACGAGGATGTGACATCACCAGAACACCAGTTGGCCAAGAAGTACGGCGGCTTTATGAAGCGCTACGGTGGTTTCATGTCTCGCCGCTCCTCCTCTCCAGAGGTGGCACTAGAGGATCCTGGAAACCAGGACGAGGAAGAAAACGTTCGTCTGGAGATCCTAAAGATTCTCAATGCAGCAGCGGAGCACGGCACTGAGGGGGATAGTCAGGGAGGCCAGGCAGTGAAGAGGTATGGAGGCTTCATGCGTCGGGCTGATGGAGGGGCGGTGCAGAGCGACCTGCTGGAGGCGGTGTTAGGCCGTGGCCTTAAGAAGCGCTACGGAGGGTTCATGAGGCGTGTGGGCAGGCCTGAGTGGCTGGTGGACAACAGCAAGAGTGGGGGGGTCTTGAAACGGGCTTGGGAGAACGGCAGTGAGTTACAGAAGAGGTACGGTGGGTTCATGGACTAGTATGCCACAGTTGATGACCCTTCTCTCCCCCCCGTCCCTCCAAACCCTCACCTTGTAGTCTGGACTTGTTGGTGTTTGAATCAACTGGCCACCCGCTCTGCTAATTACATTGCATCATCTGGCTCTCTATAACGTGCTGCTGCCTACTTCATTGGTTCAATTGGTCCTGTAATAATAAAAAAGATAAACATATATTGTTCAGATGTACACAAATCATTTTTTGGTCTGTTTTTGGTTTTCATGATGGTATTATTTATTAAAAGAATCTGTTGATCGAGGTGTGTTGGTCAAGTGTATGATTTAAAAAAATGTACCATGTTCAACCTTTTCGTGTGGGAATAGGTTTCAGAAGTGGGAGACACAATAAAGTCAGGGGCTCTTCAGACATTCAAATATGCATATGCAATATTTGCTTTGTTGACATGGGTTAGGGCAAGTGTATCGACACAGCTCTTAACATGATGAAATTGGTTGCTTTCATGCTTTCCATAAAACTAGTAGTAAAAGACAATACAAATATTATGTAAACAGAGCAACTTGCATAGAAAAACTAGTCTTCACTGCCTATTCTTTGTGTTTTTAGAAGAAAATTTCTTTTTTAATTTATCTATTGTCACCTGTAAATCAAAATACACATAAGATAATATTTCCCCAAAAGGATGCTACAGGTACAGGTAGTTTTTTCAGTAGTGTATGCAGGTCATCCTCTCAGGCTCCAATGGGCCTCAACAAACTCTACGACAGCTGTTGACAGGAGAAGGAGACAAAAACAGACTTAAATTAAAGTCAAGTTGATGACACTGGGAAACAAGCGGAGCGACGGGTGAAAGCTAGCTCAGTTCACCTGGAATTCTGGTACATTTGTGGCCTGTCAGTGGCTTGTACAGCAAAAGGGCTTAGTGATAATTAAATCTCCTGGATCCTTTTACTAGCACTGACATACACGGCTCAGTTCATGTATGATTACAGTGAGGTTTAAATTATGTAGTCAAATGTTAGGCTATGGTTAGAGGTTAGTCAACCCGAGTAATAAATGGAAAGTTCACTGAAATCTAATCATTTAAACATGGCCACATAAACACCATAGGTGGCACACATTGGGCCTACGGGTGGCATTAGCTCAGTCAGTTGGGGCTTGGCTTGGAAACCGGTGGGTTGCCAGATCGGGTCCAGCATGAAGCCATTGCCAAAGGTGCCCCTGAGCAAGGCTCAAGCAGGCCCAAACTGCTCCCCGGACGCTGTACAATGGCAGCCCACTGCACCTAAAAATAGGATGGGTTAAATGCAGATAAGAACTGTCCACTTAGGTTACAGACAACAATATCCACAAGACAATTGTCGATATAATTAAAATGACAGTGACAAGTATCAACTGATTCACTCACCATTGCACTTACAAAAGCTTTAAAATATAGACCATATCTTGTGATCTCAAAGATAACTACAGTCAGATCTATGTGCAATCAAGGTGCAAATGTATGATGGTAGTTTACCCAGAACGGCTTTATAAAAGAACAAGTACCTGACATGACTGAGTTTACAAAAGGTCAGAGATGGCTAACCAGCCCTAGAGGAAAGCATACAATGATGAGTGAGGTCTTTACAGATTGTAACAAATCTCAATCTGTAGTTTCATGTGCAAACAATGTGCAGATGCATTCATGTACAACACATCCCCATAATCAAAAACCTGTAAAAACAGCAGAGACCAGTCTTTTTCTGGTGAGAGGAGAAACGGGAGTTGCTTCTAGCATTTGAGAAATGCATTACCCTAATGTTATCAGCATTTAATATCACTGTAATATCATCACTGTATCATCAGCATAGAAGATGGTATACCTGGGAATAGGATGGAGCACTAGGTATCCTCAATCCAAGTACAGGTAGCCTGCAGATGGCTAAAACAGTGAGGAGAGGATAATAAGTCCTCCATTGAACAAATATAATTTAAGGATTACAAATGATCATTACAGAGCAGAGATGGAGACTCGACTTGAGACTCGTCCTCGAAAGACTTCAGACTTGACTCGGACTCGAGTTGCAAGAATCGTGAACGTTTATTTTTAGGAAACGTCTGATGAGATTGCTGTTATTCCCCTCCCTACGTTACCAATGACCTACCTATATAACACATACTACATATCTGCTGCGCACGGCCACATGTGAGACAGGACAACAAACACCAGCAGCTGCTGAATGTAAAATAGGTTAGTAATATAAGGTTAGTAAACATGTTTACCTTAGCATTGGTCATCTAACGTTTGCTTGCTTTTTGCTTTAGCTACGACTTACGGGAGTTTAACTCGGACTTTTGTTTGTTTATGAAAAGATGAATGAGCCTTTGTTTACTTGCCAAACTCATGGTGGTTAATTAACGTAATAATTTACATCCCGCTGGCTGCCATCACGTTATTAACGTTGGCTGCAAACAGGTTACAGGTTTATTGTTTATCATGTAACGTTGCAGTTTTATTTAGTTAACATTACTCTGGGTTTGAGAGTCTGGGGAATGTGTTGACTTACAGTAGTTTATAAGCTGTCATTAATTGCATTGCACATTACATGGCTGTGCTCTGTAAGTGAAAAACAGGTTACAGTTATAGAATTCCTATTATTGCTATGCAGTGTTATAAGCAGCCTGAATGTGCAGCCTGAGACTTGACTTGGACTCTAGTTCAAAGACTTGAGAGCATCTCTGTTACAGAGCTTGTGTAATCCACATGGAGGACACACAGCCATCTTCGCCACTAACAGCCTTTCTGTTCACAATCAAATCAGTGCACAGAAAGTGCAGCATATGGAAATACACTGCAACACCATCCAGGAGGAGCTGAATGAGCCCAACAGAGATGGGGCAGCAGGTAAGTAGCAACCCAGGAATTTCCAGGATTTATTCATTATTAATGATTAATTCCAACACCTTTCTTCTAAACCCAACAATGTGAAGTGTAACTGATGCACCATAAAAAGTGTAGTTTAGTGCCAAATCTTTCAAAGCTGTCAAGTCAATTAAACGCTTTGAACAAGTGACGTTTGAAGCTTTGGACGTTATTCGTCACGTGTTAGTGGCAAAAGGCCCATGAACGTAGCATTCAGTGATTACAGTGATCCACAGCAGCCTCTATTGAATCTTAAATTATCTGCTGAATTTTGAGCCAGAACAGCCACTTACAAATCTCTATAAATAATTCAAATAAAACCCACGCAGTCAGCAATAATAGTAGATGAGCATTAATGTAGAAAAGGTGAGTGAGAAAATGGGGAGAGCCGGGTAAGTCGGTACAATCGTTTACATTACATTGTTTTCAACCAAAAGCTAATAAGATCTCTAGCAACTCTAAGTTCATCACACAGTCAGTCAGTTAGTTAATCAATAACTTTAATTTACATAAACCTGAATACACAGAAGTTCTCTAATCTATGCAGAGTTAATGGAGGGTTCTTTGAGGATTCTTTCACTAGCAAGGACCACGCCACAACGATATGTCATTTTAGAGGTTTAATGAATATTCTGAATGTGCAGATAGATAAATGGATGTAGAGGGAAAGGGTGGTGGTGGAAGAAGGATGCCGTATGGGCCTGGGATGACCAGCGACCTTGAACCTTAATGGTTTGGTCGGAGATACCTGATCTAGCCGCTGTGGAAGCTGCGCCGATGCGGAATGAATGGCTTGAATAGTGTTCAGGTGAAATGCCTGAAATGCAGAGGACTCTGTTCAGATGCTTCTGGAAACAGAATGGAGTGGCCATTTTCCCTGTTTCGGTAAGGAAAAGGGGATGTTGTGTTGATGCCTTGGCAGCGTACCTGTAGCCGATGTACAGTATTTGGTTAGTGGCTCGTAGGGGCTAAGATAGGAGCTGAGGCGGAAGATGTAGATGGGGAAGGAAACTCCTAGCGGATCCCTTTTACTTCTTCGGAGTGTGAATATGAGAGAGTTGGAGGTCTGAATAGTGATGTCTGATAGACTGGGATGACGAGAAGGATTATAGGCGGATGATGTCGGGGTGGATCCTGAACACCTCAGGAAGCCGAAGAAAGCCAGCAAAATAATGGATTCTAGAGTTAAGTCGATTGCTGGCGACATGTATCCTGAACTAAGGAGGTCTGAAGTGAGAGGTAAGCGTCAAGCTGTGAGAGTTGGTTCCTGTTTCCGCAATCCTTTGATTAACATTGTTACCTGGGAATGAGAGGTGGAAGGACATTGAAAGCCGTTTACTATTTTGAAGAAGAAATTGATACCTGCTAAGTAGGTCTGGATGGTAGAGGAGCGGATGTTTTGGATGGAATGCAAGTAGGTGATGAAATTGCAGACGGACATGATGTCCAGAGAGGGAAATGGCAGCCATATGTGGCGTGAAATGCCTTGAAGCGATTCCAGCCAGTTAAGTAGGATGAGAGAGTGCTAGGGGCGAGGCTATTGATGATGGTCTCTTGTGAGGTGTAAGAGAGGTTTCTCAGCTGAGGAGTTAGTTGAATGTTGTGGCTGAAAACGGTGGCACTGGTGTGGGATGAATGTCCAATTCCAGAGACTGAAGGATGAACACAGGACTCCTTCTGTACCAAGCTGCTGCTTCTTCCCAAAAATACTAGTCACATTGTATTAGGGCTGAAACGATTCATCGATTAAATCGATAAAATCGATGAATGAAATGCTTCGACACAAATTCTTTGCTTCACAAATGCTTCGTTTAATCCATGTAATTTTACAGCACAGTGTTTCGCAGGGACATTTATTACTGTCGCACATCGCGCTTACGCTGTGAACGGCTTTGAACACGATGTATAATGTGTATGTGTGTGATGTATCAGAGAAGAGAGAGAGAGAAAATAGCGAGGGACAAAGAAGAAAGTGTCCAAAGTATGGGATTATTTCAAGCTAAAAAAAACAACAACTCGTAAAACGAAACTTATGTTGCCTCGGCAACAGTACGACAGTATCTGATCAGAAAGCAAAGGCTACTTCTTAAACGACGCATCGATGAATCGTTGAAATAATCTATCAAAGCTTCCAACACTAAAATCATCGTTAGCTGCAGCCCTACATTGTATGGTGTATGCTAATAAGAAACTATTGTAAGTGAAAGGCAGTGAATCATGTTATTATCCATCTTTACTACTTCTGAGTGGATGTTTCCAGACTTAGATCTTGGAGCAAAAACTAAGCTCAAGAAACATATGGTTGTGCAAAACTATGAAGTTGCATGACATTAATTATCAATTAATTAATAAATCAATTAATCATAATGACATTCCCCTGATATTTCATATTGCACCAGCAATTTTCATTCAT